AAATCTCTTTACAAAGGGATTGTCTCGGGGCAGAGTAGATTATATTTGTGACAAGCTGGGACTATATAACATATACTCTCCAGCTTGAGGGGGAGTGTTAGAGTACACAAAACAGGGGTATTTTGGTCATTTGGGTTTATCTATTTGAGAGTGAAAGGTCTGTTTTGTTTAAGTTTAAGTTGTGTCCCATCACTTATGAGGGAGAATATGGTCTTTCTTGTAACTATGTTATTGGAGATAAATACAAGTGGGTCGACTAGAGAGACGACTGATTTTCCTCTATTAGCCGAACCCTTCTTCGTCTTCTCCTTCTCTACTGTAACCTAGGACTAAATAAGTCTTTTAGTGTAATATTAGTATAATACTCCTAAAGTACCATCTTGTACATAAAATAATGGTAAAGTCAGTTAACCTTAATATGCTAATCTTAAATCAAAGAAATAAGAATATTTTAGCAAAAAGAAATGAAACATCAATCCAACCTAAAGTCAACAGGTTAGGTTAGGGTTGAGATCAACCAGACCTAATCCAGCCCAACTTGCACCAATACAAAAAGCACTATCTCATTCTCTCCTTTTAGTTCTCTTCCATATCAATCCAAAAACACCACTTGGTATCAATTCCATGGTTAACAATTTTTGCTTTCAATACCCAAAAATACCCTTGAACAAATGTGACCAACAGAAAACAGACCTTTCTAGGTTCTCATACCTAGGCAGAAATCTAGAAAATATGCAAAAAGCTCCCAATAAATGGGCAACTCAGAGGTTTAAATAGAGATTTGTCAATTTCTTCAATCTTTCACATATGACTCCTGCCCTAAGTTATATGATTTTTAACCTGTTTGCTTGTGAAAGAAACAGCAACTGAAAAAATGGGATCTATGCCGCAATACCAACTTGAAATTGTTGATGAAACGAATAAAGAGAGAAAAGAAAATAAGAGGAATTAGAAGACAAGAGAAGATAATAATAGGAGTTCTATGTTAAGGCAAAAAAGAAATCATGCAACCATCAGCTGCCTCTTTATCTATTTATATATAGGGTTACAAAAACTGATAAAAAGACAGTTATAACCCTTAAAAAGACAAAAATCACCCAAGATGAAGAAAACAGAAATAACATCCACACAAACTAATTCATTCTCAACAAAAGCAATCCTAATCAACAACTGCACAGCAACAAACCATACAATGGCTATTGCAATACTTTTTAAAAGGCTTGGAATAAAATTTTACCTGTCAGAGTGAAAAGGCTGAAGCAAGATAAACATCTGAATATATCTGGCCCATGATCTTCATCATTGACTGCAGGTTGAAGACTACCATCCACACCAGGTTCAACTGGATCACAAACATTAGCACTAGGTGAAGGCTCAGGACAACTATCATCCGACTTAGATTGATCTACTTTTTCAATTTTTGCTTGCTTTACATCATACTGAATATTCTGTACTTTCCTTTTTCTTTTACGTAAAATTACTCTCCTAGTAATGCATGAGTTACAGTTAGGACAGTATAAATCATGTGTTTCCTGCTCCACTAATACCCTCTCAACATCCAAGTCAATTACTGCCAGATGTCTCTCTTTTATGAATCCAATGTCTGTATGCTCTTCCAACTGTTTATCAACGGGCTTAAAACTCAAATTTACATTTTCACTGGACGTTTCATGTGGCACAAGATTGAAACCATGCTGCCACTCATTTTTCAAATTCTCATGAATTTGATGATTGCTTCTAGGTACCCAATTATTCTGAACATCAAGAATCTTGGTGGTAAGATCTAATTCTTCATTGTGTAGCTTTTTCTCAGAAATGGAATGGTCAACAACACTAAATTTCATTCCAACAACTCCATCCGCAACTACAGTTCCTGAAACCATGCCAAAAAAAAATTGTTCAATGTCCCACAATTGTAATAAATTCATGGCCAAAAAAAACCAGATGCAACCCCAAAAGAAAACAAAAAAGTAGACTTTATATTGGTGCTTGTGGTACTTGTTGTGAGGGGTCTTTTTGTACGGTTTTAGTGGCACAGGGGTGTCATGTAATTCCTTGTTTTTCAGGGACATCTCTGTAATATTATAATTTTAATAATATAATAGAGTGCAGTGAGAGCCACCACTGACCCAAGAGAGATTAACTTTTTCAGTTTTCTGTCTTGTTCTCTTCTTTTTTTTTTTTGATCAATAATTGCTCTCTCTCTCTCTCTCTCCTTCCTTCTTCCTAGGTTTTCTTTGACAGATTACATGGTATCAGAGCATAATCTGTCATAGAAAAACCTAGTTTTTTCTCTTCTAGAATATCTTATTGGCTGGATCCTTCTAGAATATCTTTGTGTGACCAAGGTTTATTGTTTGGGATTTCTGTAGCAGTGAACAAAGAATGTGAGAGTGCTGTAACACTACCAAACAGAGCATCTTTGCCATGGGGTTCTGTAGAGATCCTGTTATGCTCTAAGAAGGTCCAGAAAGGTCTATTAACTATCTGTTTTTATACAGGTCTATTTTTAATCAGTTTTCATTTTGTTGGTACAATTGAGAAACACAGAGGCTACAGCCCGACCCCATGCATCACACGAACAAAGACAAGAGAATTCACTATTCATCATACTAGGACCAGAGACCTCCCTACTGAGACCCAAGTTGGCCAACCAATCAGCCACATAATTGGCTTCCCGAAACACATGCATGTACGAGATAGTAATAGAAAAGTCCCGACAAATGAGATAACATTCTTCAAGAACAGTCCTGATATTCCATGGAGGATGATCAGCACCCTTCAAAGCATTGATGACAACCCTCGAATCTCCTTCAATAATGATAGCAGAGCCTCTGAAGCAAGTCACCACCTTATGAGCTTCTTGAGCCACCCAAGCTTCTGCCATGTTAATAGTATATGAGCCAATGTCTTTGCTAACCACAAATTAAATCCTACCCTTGTGATCCCTTGCAACCACACCGATTGCACATCTACCATTGGTTTTCCTTGAAGCATCGAAGTTTATCTTGACCTCATGGCTACACAGACGCTTCCTGCTGACCATGATTGGAGAAGTCAATGAGCTGACCTGTAGGCTATCTGATGAGGAGAGAGAGATGGAACTCAAGCAGACTGTTCTAGATTTCTCAATGATTAAAGGTGGACTGATGGAGTTATTATTAAAAAAATTGTTGTTTCGATTTTTCCAGATTTTCCACAACAGCATGCTCACATTCTCCAAAAGCATATTATCATAATAACGTCTCATGGATCTTTTAATTCTCCCCCACCAACTACACACATTCTCATCCTCATGAGGACTTGGAATAGCTGCATGCTTTTCCATCTAGCACTGTAAAAGGATATTATATGAATCTTCCACATAACCACAGAAAAGGCAGTCCACATTTAAACTCATGCGAAGCCTTACGAGTCCCGCCTTAGATACTAGTTGACCTTTTAGGAGGAGGTACATAAAATATCGAATTTTGGGTGGGAAATTCAATTTCCAAATCTATGGGATATTAAAACTTCTCAAATCCTTAATGTTCCTATTATCACTAATATTCTCTCTCTCAAGAAGAGATTAAGCAGATCTGATTGAGAAAGTACCTTTCAGATTAGGTCCCCAAATCATGAAATCCTCCCCGTGAGAGGTCGGAATAGGAATAGCTCTAATTTTATTCTAGTAGAAAGGTTTGGACAACCTATTTTGATATAAAAACTGTAAAAGAAAGAAGAAAAGAAAGAGGAGAAAAGGTTTCAGCTAAGAAAGAGAGAGATGAAAGATAGAAGAGAATGGGAGAAGCTCAAAATTAGGTCTGGCCGCCCTTTTCATTAGACTATATACTCATATATAGTCTACTCATTAGACTATATACTCATAAATAAAAGAGAGTACAAAGACTATATACTCTTAACTTAAAACATAAACTAATGGGCCTAAGGCCCAATAACTCCCTAACTATGCTATGTAAATAAAAAACATGTTATATCAGCCCAAAACTCAACACTCCCCCTCAAGTTGGGAATAAATGTCACATGTTGGTTCGGCTGTTTTTAGTGTTTATGTTAGTCRTATTTGTGTCTTAAGTTCTTAGTTATTGGGCCTAAACTTGTTTAATGTTTTATTTGTTTTATTTGTCTAGGTGTCCCATCACTAATCAGGGACATTCTAGTCCATTCATGTAACATTATTTATAATCATCTATATAAGATTGTAGGGCTGGCTGAAGTGTGTATGCCGCCTTTCTCAAAACTTCTTCTCTTCTTCTTCTTCAGCTGCTGTATTCCAGCAAACATGGTATCAGAGCACTAATCTGTCTGTCTAGTTACAGCCGCCACCTTTCTCTACTCTTCTCTATTCCTTTTTTCCTCTCTCTCTTTTATCTTGGCCACTGTGAAGAAACCCTAGGGCTGACCGTAGAACACAGCAAGGTCTGTATCTAGGGTTTCCCTTGGTTGTAGGGCCCAARGGGAGTTTGTTCCAGAAACCGATGCCCTACTAGACACCTTGCAGCAGGTAGTAGCCATTCGGCTGCTAAGAGAGATCTGTGTGGAACAGATCTAGGTGGAAGGACT